TCCTGTGAGGACTTCGTCTGGCTCGCGATCGGTTTCTCGAGAGAGAAGCAGATCGCAATCTGTCAGTCGTTTCCCTCGCCAGGAGGTGCAGGACATGGAGGGTTCTGTCTCCAAACCATCCCGTGAGAGGTCCCCGGGAAGCGAGGGAGAGGAGGCGGCTCCCTCCCATAAAAAGAAAATTCGAACTGGTGGACAAGGCACTTCCAAACCCCATAAAACGTAATCTTCGCGTCGACCATTATACAATGGAACTGTCGAAGTATTAGATCTAAAGTAAATGACCTTAAATTATTAGCCTCGTCCTATGCTCCCGATATCATAGTTCTCCAAGAAACACATTTAACAGAATTCGTCTCTGGCGAGGTTGTTTCGCTGAGGAACTACCATCTGTGTCGGAAGGACCGCCATGTACGTCCACCAAAACCTCCCTTATACAGAAGTGACTTTTAATTCTACTTTGGAGTTTGTCGCATGCAAAGTAAAAATTAATGGCACGTATCTGGCTATATGTTCAGTTTATTGTCCACCTGATACAGTGATAATCTATGATGAGCTGTTTGCTCTTCAGGAACGTCTGCCACAAAATAAAGTAATTTTAGGTGATTTTAATGCTCATCATACGTTATGGGGTTCCCTGAGGGTGGATGGTAGAGGTGAGCAAGTAGTTAAGCTGATTAATGAGTCCGATTTAGTCCTTCTGAACGATGGTAGTCCCACGCGGGTGGACGATAATACCGGTAATTTGAGCTTTATTGACCTATCACTGGTCTCTTCATCAGTAGCAGCTAAGTGCCTGTGGCACACCATTGACGACTCGTTGGGAAGCGAACACCTTACTATTTTGATTAAATATTCATGCGACACAGTGAGAACGCCTTCAGCGCCTAAATTTAACGTTAAAAGAGCAGACTGGGTCGCCTTCACAAGGAGCGTCAAGCTCGAACTAGTTGGAGAGACCATTGATGATAAAGTAAACAACATTCAGAATTCGATTTTAGAAGCAGCTTTGCTATCCATTCCTAAAACTTCGACAGATAGCGTTAAGCATAGAGTTCCATGGTGGACACCAGATTGCCGCAGGGCGCTGTGCCGACGCAATAAGGCCTACAGGCTTTTCAAAAATAACATCACAAACGAGAACTTTTGCAATTACAAACAAGCAAGAGCTAGGGCTCGTAGAGTAATAAGACAAGCAAAAAGAGACTCCTGGCGGAGCTTTGTCTCTACAATAAACAGCAACACAAAAACATCTGAGGTTTGGTCCACAATCAATAAAATAAATAAGAAAAAATCATCTTTCAAAATTAACAACATCATTTATGAGGGTAACAATTTAGATTCACCTAGAGACATTGCTAATGCACTCGCCAGGCAGTTCTCTCATACAAGCAGTTCAGCAAACTATCATCCCGGCTTCCTGCCCATTAAGGAAGCGGCTGAACTACAACCAATTCACTTTGCCACAGGAGATGACTTTGATTACAATAAAGATCTTACAATAGATGAGCTTGTCCGAGCCCTAGAAGCCTGTAGAGGAACATCCCCAGGCCCCGATGAGATTCGTTATGAGATGATAAAGCATCTTAATCATGGTGACATGATTAAGTTGCTAGAAGTGTACAATGAAATTTGGAAAAGCCACACTTTTCCAAACTCATGGCACTTCGCCTACATCATTCCCATATTGAAAGGAGGGGGTAATCCCAAACTTGCCATCTCCTACCGCCCAATTGCGGTGACAAGTTGCTTATGCAAGGTCATGGAAAGAATTGTTAACAGTAGGCTATTGCATTTTTTAAATTCCAGACATTTGCTAGTTGACGAGCAGTGCGGTTTCCGAAAGGGACGCCAAACTCTCGATCAGCTAGTAAAGCTGGCCAGTCATATTCAAGAGGCAATTGCCCCAAAAAAAATTTTGATTTCAGTATTTTTAGATATAGAAAAAGCCTACGACATGACATGGCGATATGGCCTACTCAGAAAACTTTATGCTTTTGGATTACGTGGAAACTTGCCTTGTTTTATTCAAAATTTTATTTCTGACAGAACGTTTGCTGTCAAATTATTTTCTGACAACGTTACTTTTTCGGACATTTTTGTCCAGGCAAACGGGGTCCCACAAGGAAGTGTCTTGTCACCAACATTATTTCTATGTATGATAAATGACATCTTACCAGCTCCTCCTCGGAATCTTAAATACTCACTGTACGCTGATGATTGTGCATTATGGCACTCCAGCAATAATGCAGAATTCTCAGCAAATCGCATCCAATTGGCACTGGATATGATTCATAACTGGGGCCTCCAGTGTGGTTTTAAGTTTTCCATTAGAAAGAGTATTGGGGTAATTTTTTCACATAGGAAAAAGCCCAACATCAGGCTAACTCTAGACAACCACCCAATACCAATCCAAAATTCTGCTAAATTTCTTGGGCTACTTTTTGATAGTAGACTCAATTGGAAAGACCACATTGGTCAGTTAAAGAATAAATGTCAAAAAGCACTAAATTTATTAAAGTGCATTTCTGGTAATAAATGGGGAGCTGATAGACAGTCTTTGCTAATGATATATAAAGCCCTAATTAGGTCTAAAGTAGATTATGGGTCAATCGTGTATGGTTCGGCATCGATAACAAGTTTGAATGGTTTGGATACTGTGCAGAATGCTTGTTTGCGTGTGTGTGTTGGAGCCCTGAAATGTACTCGGATCGAGCGTCTTGAGGTGGAGTCAGGAGTACCTCCCCTCCGACTCAGACGCGGCCAGTTAGCCCTGAGCTATGCCGCGAAGGTGGCTCGAGACCCGAGCCACCCTAATGGCAATGGAGGCATTAGGCCCTTTGCCACAAGACTCCACGACCTCGTCGAGAAAGTCGGTATAGATCTCTCTACCATCGATACCCTGGTTCATTCAAATATAGCGCCATGGGAAACCCCCAACTTTTCTATCATGGAAGCCTGGCTTCCATCAGCCAAGGCCATGGCGCCGGAGGTGGAGGTACGCCAGAGGTTCAGAGAGATCCTTATTAAACATCTAAACTTTTCATATATATACCGACGGCTCCAAAACAGATGAGTGTGTGGGTGCGGGTGTATGGTCGACTGAATGTGAACTAAAGTTCAGACTGCCGAATCATGCATCGATTTTTATTGCCGAACTTTTTGCAATTGATAAAGCTATAGATTTTGCACTATCGACGACCCACGATAGAATAGTTATTTTTTTCTGATTCACTAAGTTCACTTAAAGCTATTAAATCCTTAGAAACCACTAAAAATGAATTGCTGGGTAATATCATTCGTAAATTACATGGTGCCAACAAATCAATCAAGCTAATATGGGTACCAGGCCACTCTGGTATCTATGGCAATGAACAGGCTGACAAACTAGCTGGGTCAACTGACGATCTGGACACTACCATAGTTCGTACAGATCTCAGGTGTTTTGTGTCTCTTATAAAAGCAAAAATACATCTCCTGTGGCAAAGTGAGTGGACCAGCCTCCAACTCACAAACAAATTCAAGCAAACCATAGAACTGTGGGACACATCCCACAGGAAAGAGAGAAGGGAGGAGGTGGTGTTGGCCCGCCTTAGGGTCAACGCCTCAAGACTTACCCACCTCACTCCCTACATAGAAAAGAAATACCCTCCACAATGCCCGCCCTGCAATACAATCCTTACCCTAAATCACATCCTGACAGTCTGCAACCAATACAATATACAAAGACAAAAAATTAAGAATTATTTCCAACTAATAAATAAAGAATTCACACTAATAAATATATTATCAGATAATGAAAAAATAATAAGTAAAGTAATCACTTTTTTAAGGGAGACAAAACTTTATGACCTTATATAGATTGATAGAATAAATAGGATCCATTGGCTTAATAACCTTGGCCACATGCCGCTGGTTGATAGCCAAGAAAAAAAAAAAAAAAAAAAAAAAAAATTGTTCAGATCACTACAGGGGAAGTCGAGATGTAAAGTTTGGTTGAATTATGCCCGTCAGGAAGATTATTTGTGTCCTATTACAGTAATTTACCCGTTCTTTTAGTAAACAAAAGAGTATAATTGCTAGATAAATAAAACTACAGTAACCAACAATATTGGTTACTGTTGCATAGTTCCTTTTCTTCCTGTATACTTGTAGGCAGGTACTATAAACAATTTCGTGGAGGGGGAGGGGGGTTAGGGAGTAAATTACTGAAAAGCTAGCCCACTTTTTGTGCTGATTCGTCTTTTTCTTATATCATCATTAAACGGAGGATCCATAGTCGATGTTTACATTGGTCTTTTTATATCAGAAGTGGAATGCACTGTGTTAGTATGCAACCTCTCATGCAAGAATACGCCCATCTGCATATAGTTATACATATGGGCCTTAAGGGAAAGCTGAACATATTCCCTAGTTTGCGTTGTAAATTATAAAAAATGAAAAAAAAAGAGGCATGAACACTTTTGGAAAAGCATTGCATTACCGCCTGAAGCTAATTAGCAAAACATAGCTGAGTCATTACATAAGGACATGTAATGACATTAACTGGTAGATCATTAGCTGTTCAGATGGAAATATGAGAGGGAAACCCGAACTCGCCTTTGGCCTCGCGTAGATACGTCAAATAGAATAAAATAAATATAATAAAACCAACGACCTGTTTGTTGTATAAGCATGAAACGTGCAAACATACGAAGTAGTGGTTATCGTATTTATAATTATATTGAACATTTTAGCCTGTTGTTTTTTCTATTATTTGTGTTATCACTAGTTAGGACGCGTGTTTGTGTAAGCTTGAAAGTCATAATAAAGACTTATTAAGTACAAGAAGGGTTTCATGATCCTTTTCATTGAATTGTATCTTTATTATGAAGATATTATGAAGTTATTCTTCCTAGTCCTGCACCTTTGTTATAATATGCATTTGTAAACATTTTGAAGACTTTGATTATAGTTTTTGCAAGTATTTTTTTTTTTTTACATATGTATAATGAAGTGAGAAATGGACTTTGTCAGATGCATTTATATTTGTCTTATATTTACGTAATGCATACATTATCAGTGTCAATGAGGGTTAAAATCGGTTTCCTTTTCTTGTTTGGTAACACCTCAAGACGAGATTGCATCGCTACCGTCATAACCTCTGAGCAAGAAGAGATGGTTGCATCATTATTGTTCTTATGTGGAACTCGACCAATATGATTTGTGTTTGTGTCTGTTTATGCTAAAAGTATATCTGAAGACAATAATAAAGACATTTTGAATTTTATGATCCTTTTCTCTGCATTGGATTCTTATTATTGGGGTACTTTAGCGATTTAAGGTAAACTACGTATCAAGACATATATGAAGGCTAAGTGTAATTATTAGATCAATACCCGTGATTCTATTCATATCAACATCCTTGACCCGTTTCGCATACGGAGAGCAGCTGTGAATACTTTTTTACCCTCTCTCTCTCTCTCTCTCTCTCTCTCTCTCTCTCTCTCTCTCTCTCTCTCTCTCTTGCTCTCTCTCTCTCTCTCTCTCTCTCTCTCTCTCTCTCTCTCTCTCTCTCTCTCTCTCTCTCTCTCTCTCTCTCTCTCTCTCTCTCTCTCAGTCTCTCTCTACCCCCACCCCATTTCTCTCTCTCTCTCTCTCTTTCTCTCTTACTTCAGTTAAATAAGTATATTTTTGTAAATTACATAAAGCTGTATACAAGAAAAGTGTAGAGTATTATTTCTATAGAAAATATTCCTAAAATGTAGTCAACAAAAATAAAAAAAGATGGAAGTTTGTAATTCCGTTTTCTTTGTTGTCATTACATCAGAATTATACACAAGCAGGTATTTGGAGCATTCGTAAAGCGTTTAACTCAAAAAGGTAAGTCGAGAAAGAAAGAGAGAGAAAGAATGAGAGATAGAGATAGAGAGAGAGAGAGAGAGAGAGAGAGAAAGAGAGAGATAGAGAGAGGGGGGAGAGAGAGAGAGAGAGAGAGAACAAGCAAGAGACAGAGAAAGAAAAAAGACAAAGAGAAAGAGAACGAGCAAGAAACAGAGAAAGAAAAACACAAAGAGAAAGAGAAAGAGCAAGAGACAGAGAAAGAAAAACACAAAGTGAAAGAGAACAAGCAAGAAACAGAGAAAGAAAAGGACAAAGGGAAAGAGCTAGACAGATAGACAGAGAAAGAGAGAAAATCCAACCCACGCCTCTCTATACTCCATCACCTCCCACTCGTGTCTCCTAAACTGACATCATTTACTTAAGGAGTCACGCCTGTCTTCTCCTCGATCCAGTCCAGGTAATAGAAGACGCGGGTGAAGGCGTCAGGTTCTCCGGCCTCGCATCCTACAGAAGACCCGAAGGAGGTGACGCCGTAGGTCATGCCGTTGAGGTTGAGGGGACCGCCGGAGTCTCCCTGCAGAAGGAGTTTTGGTGAGAAGGGCTTCGTCGTGAGTTAGGGTCTTGCCAAATGTCGGATGGTGAGCATGAATATTGTTTATTTTATTTTATTTTATTTTATTAGTTTTATTTATTTTTTTACTGTTGATTAAATGAAAAGTAAAAGGAATGGGTTATCGGTTTAACCTTGTTTATGATGATATATAGTTTTTTATGAATATTAAATGAAATGGAAATGAAACGGTTGTTGGTTTATTTTTATCTTTATCTATCCGTTTATTTACTGACTTGTCTCTCTTTTCCTTTTCTCTATTATGTATTAATGATGATATTAATAGTGTATATGCTGATTTTGGTTTTAATTCTGTCTATGAAACTTTTATAGCAATGATAATGAATATATATACTTATTTTACTAGTGATAGTGATGGTGAAAATTTTATACGATATTGAACCATAATAATAATGATGTTTTTTTTTTTTATAATGATATCATTGCTATATAATCTAGGATTAATAATGATAGTGGTGTGAAATCATGATGATATTAATAGTTAATACTGGATAATGTCATGAACATGTACTGATGTTAACGATGATGAAGATAAGAATATTATAATCAAAATATCAGTGATGAATTGCATCTGTGATGATGGTGATTATAAAAATAGGAAAAAGACGATATTAATAAAGAATATACTGGTCCTGATAATGATGATAATGACGAAAAAGCT